GTTAAGAGAGATGTTGATCTGAAGAAGATGCTCAGTAAAATAGGAAAATTGGCTAAAGATAAGTATCTTCTTGAAGCCAAAACTGATAATGGTAAATTAGAATTTCATGAAAAAGGAAATGAAGCGTTTAGAATTGTTGTCCAAGTTGGTAGAAATAATGATAAACAACGTGTTATGGCATTAACTGCAAGTGAAAAGAGAGTGTATTGGAAAGAATTTACTGAAGCAGTTGTGAGTTTATTAATGAAAGGAAAATGTCTTAGCAGTTATGCGGTTACTGCTACACTAAGAAAGAATTTACGTAATACTGCTAAATCTATTACTACTACTGAAGACAAACAATCAAAAGAAGAAAAGAAAGAAGAGGATCATATTAGTATTGAAACATCCCCAAAAGAAGAAGCAAAAAATGAACAGAAAGAAGAAGTAAAACAAGAAAAGAAAGAAGAAGTTCAAATTCCCATTGAGCAGAAATAAAATTTCATTTATTTTTTTTGTTTTTCTTTAGAAATTTTAGAAATAAAAAATAATTTGATTAAAATATTTTTCTTCTTTTCTGTATTTACAATTTCATTTACAACTCTAGCAACATATTAGAAGAATCTTCTAACGTGATAGTTTTGAAATTAACTCTGTAATACCAATATAACATATTGAAGAAATTGAAATAATCACTTCTTAATATTAAGAAAATCAAATTATGGATATATCTATTAATTGACGTTTTTTTTCTATTTAATAACATATTATTATATTGTATTTCATCAAATACATTGTGAATATCAAAAACATACCGAATGTGTTATTTGAAAATTGTGTTGTATCTCCATTATTATTCTTGATTATTATCAACAATTCATTAGTATCACTACAATAAAATATAATATGATTATTATTTTCTCTTTTATTTACATGTTGAATATATTCATTCAATTTCTTAATATAATGAATAAATAAGACTCATGATAAATATAACTCTGATTACTAAGTAATTTAACAGAATAAAAGAATATACTATTTCATTTTCATAATTAATAACACAAAACACACAAAATTCTTTCTGTATAAAAAGTTATTTGTATGAATTTTTTGATGGATTTACTATATCATGATGTTTGATATGTTGAAATATTATACAATAGTCATTTAGAATATACTTGAATAATTTCATTGATTCACCACAAAATATATCAACAAATCTTTCATTTGTTTTTGCAACAACAATACAATTTTCTTTTTAAATTTCTATTTAGTATTCTATTTATTTTTCATTGTAACAAATATAATTCATTTGATTCTTTGTGTTGTTCCAATTGACTTTTATTTTAGAAATTTCACTTTATGAAATATTTTCTTTTTGATAACAAAGACATTAAACCTCATCATTGATAATATTTTGAATGTATTTTATTTTTCTTTCAATTATTTACATGTTTTTAGTATCTTCTTCAATATGAGTGTCACTTACTACAAATATATTCATTAATATTTCATAATTTTGTTTTGAAACATACTCTAATTTAGTGTTATACAACATGACAACAATGAAGATGATTATTCAATAGTTAATTCAAAATGAATATTAATGTATTTTGTAATGAAGAGTGACAATACTCATTTTTATAAATGACATTTTAATTTATTTGGGTAATTTTTATTTATTGGAAATGTTATGCTATTTGATTTAAAAAAATGAAATAATGAAAATAAAAAGAAATTATATTATATTATTTTAATCATTAAAGTATCAGTTTATCTTCTTTTATTTCAATAATGATGATAAATAACTAATGAAATGAAAGTATAGAGAATAATATCATTTTATTGTTATTTTATTTCGTTATATGAAACAAATACAAATGATTTGAAATATTTATTAATTATACAATGATTTATAATGAAATAATTAATTGAAATAGAAATGTGAATAATACAGTGAATAATTTATATATAATTGGTTCTTTATATCATTTTATATTTTCTTTGAATTTATTTATTGCTATTTTATTATTATTATTATTATTTCATTTGTATTTATTATTTTCTATTAATTAAATGGAGAAACTGTTATTCGTAATATTATTTTGTATTAAAATAATACAAAGAATAAATACATCAAGTAATAATGAATTGGAAAAGAAATAAACAAAAATTAAAATTATTCTATTTCATATTTACATTATTTAAAACTTAAATTATCAATATAATATAAAATGATGATGGATTGAAATGGAATTATCTTTAATGAAAATAAATATTACACATATTTAAATTTGAATATTCATAATCATATGAAATAAAAATAAGAAATGTTAATAAATAAGAATACGTTACTAAATAAAATATATAAATTATTCACTACTAATTTGTTTTTAATTCATATTTTAAGAATAATTTGTTTTTAAATATAATAATATGTAAAAATAATTGATATTTTTATTCAACAAAATGAATATCATCTCATAACATAATATAAGCAATAACTCATTTAACAAAATGTTTATTTTAATTATTTTATTTTATATCATTTTGATATAATATTGAAAGAATGTTTAACGTCAATATATATATGTCACAATTAAAATAAGAAGAACAATTATTTTATTCATTAATAAATAAATGATATTGAGAAATAAAACAAATACATTGATAATAACATAACTAAAATGATATTTGAATGATAAAAATGAAGAAATAATTTATTTATCTTTATTCAATCTTCTATTTTAATGAATTAATGAATTAAATTATTGTATTTATAATATTTAACATAATAATTA